TACGCACTCGTGCTTTCCCTGTCGCACTCCCCACGTGAATTGGGCACCAAGTCGGACAGTCTATATCGTTTCTGCACATTTCCTGCGTACCCCTTTCTCTCTTTTACGCACCGAATAATAGACTCTTACGCCCGGCGCAACCAGAGGGAGGGGAGGAGGATCAAATGTTTATATATATATATATATATATATATATATATATATATATATATATATATATATATATATATATATATAGGGCTCCGGAAATAGAGGACTAACTGGAGTTCTTTAACGAGCTCCTAAGTCCATAGACGAACAAGACTCTGGCATTTAGTCTTTATTTAAATGCGGCCGCCTCGGCCGGGATTCGAACCCACCACCTTTGGGTCAGCAGTCAAGAAGCACAACCACTAGACCACCGTGAAGGGTTTATAGAGCTACATAAAAACGCTAAAGTATAGCGACTTAAAGTCGGCTCGCACAGGAGACACATTAGCTTTGGCGGGCAATTACTGTGAAGTCCAGTCATCAAACATGCAATTAGCCAAAACGTAATTAATTTTCTTGCCATAGTGATGAAGGTCAGCAGCCGATATATATGCTAGCACGTACACGCATGCACATACATAATATTCGAAGCACCCCCTCTTCCACACACACACACACACACACCGAAAAAAAAATTTCTGACTATGATACTGTATGCCTGTCACATACTATTCGCAAATTCGGTTCTTCTTAAATAGGCACCTTTGTGGCCTTGATGTACTCCAGGAGTGCAGCTCATGTGTTTAGAGTTCTTGCTGAATTTCGCGAGAAAATTTATTTACCAGGCATACTAAATGGTAGGCTGTGCCATCTGAAAAAACCTTAGTATTACCGGCTATTGAAAGTTGCGCGGCCACTTTTACCCGCCAAGATTAGCGGAAAGTTTCGGCGAGCTTGACTAGAAGTATTTCTGGCACAATCTTAGAAACCTATGCAGCTTGTTGCTACTTTGTCTTGGTAAATTCACAGGCTACAATTTTTCGTTAGCATAGGAGTGCTCTTAAAAGCATGTGGGCCATAGTGGCGAAATGCCGTTGAAGCTTGTTATGTGTTTGCTTGATTGTGCCCTCAACACTGTTTGCGAATCTCCTACTCTGGGAGATTGATCAACATAACCAGCATAATATAAGATTATAAGCGGGCAAACAAAAATAAATAAGGATTTATATTGTCAGCTCCCTGGAAGGCGATATAATCGTCTTAATAATAGTAGAGCGATTCAACCTTATTTCACACGCACAAATGCTTTTTGCCACTCCTTTTTCCCAGACGCAATAGATATGTGAAATAGTTTACTCAATGCGGTTGTGCAACAAACTACGTCAGTGAATTTTGGAAATGCATTAGACAGTTTTCTTTGTAGCGATGCATGCTAAATTCTGTTGTGAACATTTATTCGTTGATTTTTATGTGTATAGTCACTGTTGTTTGTTTCTTATTTTTCTGTTGTTGGTTATTTATTTCGTATTTACATGCGCTTTTGAATTTTTCTTTTTTGTGCGAACGTTATGTGCTTTGTGACAGCCTCCCTGTAATGACCCCAAGCATGGGGTTGACAGTATGAAATAAATAAATAAATAAATAAATTAATTAATAACATACCTCAAGATTTCGATAATGGCTTGAACAAATGCTTATAAATAAATAAGTAAATAAATAAAAAGGAGAATATATAAACCGAATACCGCAATTACTATGCGATTGCGCAAATATACTGAATAATGTATACTAATCTGACCAGAAAGTTTTTCGATATGATAGATTTTAACGCATCTTTTTTTTAATTGCTTGCGAATATTTGGTACAGTGTAGATCAAAATTGGATACGCTCTAAGTTTGTTTCGTTTTATGGTACGCCTCGGATCGTATACTTTAGCTTGTCCTTAAAGCGGATAGCACGTCATCATAGCTACTGCACTCGGTGCACTCAAGTTTCTGCGGTCGCTGCGACGGGGGCCACACGTGGCGGCTGTATACACAGCGCTGTGCGCAACTATGTAGGGCGAGTCACCGAGTCGAGCGATGGTGGTGCCCCCATCCGCGCCTCACGGACGTCGTGCTTCGTTACCCCGATATGTGGCCACAGGTGGGCGGACGCGAGCGATGATCGGCTCAAGCAGCTGCTGCCGCCGAACAGGAAGCCATCCTTCGCCCACTTTCAAACACTGGGTGCTCACGGCTGTGCACGATACCGACTATACTGTGCGAATTCGACGTTTCGCTTGTAAATCTTTAAGTGCGTGCGCAATGATCTCAATAATTACGCAATAAAAAATATCATGAGAGATGTCAGAGGTGTCGTCACACAAGGTTCCCGAAGTAAACCTACACAGCGGTATACAATAACGATATCTGGGCTCTTACGTCCCAAAACCACGATATTAGAAAGAGAGACGCCCTAGTGGGGCGCTCCGGAAATGGAGGACTAACTGGAGTTCTTTAACGAGCTCCTAAGTCTATATACACAGAAGACTCTAGCACTTAGCCTCCATTTAAATGCGGCCGCCTCGGCCGGGATTCGAACCCACCACCTCCGGGTCAAGTCAAGAAGCGTAACCACTAGACCACCGCGATGGATTTATAGAGGTACACATATGTTACAGAGATATAGCGACTCAAAGTAGGCTAGGAGGCTTATTAGCTCTAGCGGGCAATTACAGCGAATTCCAGTCATCCAACCCGTAACTAACTCAAACTTCATTAATTTCCTAGCCATAGTGATAAAGGTATGCATTCATATTAGAAACTTCAAAAATAATCACATTTTAGGGCAACTTCGCCTTGTTTATTTCTCGTGGCATGCTCTTGTTTTTAAGGTACTCACTATCAAGTTTAATCCTTCCATTGAGCTGGCACTCAGGACCACAAATTTCAACCTTGCATCGATTCGCAGTAGTGACGTAACTTGTTACATATCTTTCGCGAGCTGTTGTGATATCGGTTGGCGAAAACTAAAAACGACCAACTTTTCCTCACTATCACGCCATGTCGTTATCTCACGCATTCGAATTATACACATACCATAATTAACATTTTCAAGGATTTTACGTCCCGAAAGATCGTTAGGATTACGACGACTCCGGAAATGCCGACTATTCATTCATTCACTGTTTATTCAGACAAAAAACAATGATTGCCTAGGTTGAAGGGACTAAAAGCAGATTACCTCCGCCTGACTAAGGTCCCTCCACCCATACATTTGCTCAAGTGAAGTGGAACAAAGGATACAAATTTCATTCCGCTTTTGAATGAACTATCGGGTATCTTTTAACGTGCACTGATATTGCACAGTATACTCGGGTCTATAGCGCCCTGCGTCCATTGAAATGCGACCGCCGAGACCAAACCAGCGACGGTCAGCAGCCGCCGTAATCAGAGCGGCGGACAGCGTTGTATTGAGATTCACGGCAAAAGCAGCGAGAAAAGAAGGCAACACGAAAAAAAAAAGAAACTGTGTCGTTCATACTGTCAAACTTTGCCGATTTCACCAAGGCATTCCTCAGATGACCAGATGGCAGAATGGCATAGCCTTGGCCATAAGGCCCATATTCTGAAACACTTTTTACCTCAGACCATTTCCTTACCTTACGTGAGGAGCCCTTCATGCCTTTTTATCCTAAGGCTATCTTGAGGGAGCTAGCATTTTTTGCGAGCTCCCTTGAACCTTCATTCCCTAAGGGCCACCTCAGTAAGGTAAGGTGCATGGGTGGGATCGAGAGTAGCTGTGAAATATGGACTTAACATTCATATTTAAGAAATTATAAGGAATATATTTCTCGATTATTGATGAATAATAACGTGTACACTGAGATTCTTCCCGATATGAATGCACAGCATTTGCCGTTTATTGAATTTTCGCCTTTTGCAGCAAGGGAAAAGAGAGAGAGAGAGAGATGCAAGAAAAAGCAGCGAGCAATAACGATTGCTTAAAGAACTTAGGAAATGAATGATGGTGATTTTTAGAACTGAGCTGGGTTAAAGGGACACTAGAGTCAACTATTATGTCGACGTTGATTTTTGACATGGTGTTCCAGAAATCTCGTAGTGTTACTTTTGTGCCAAGGAAGGGCCGAACTTGAAAGAAAATCACGTTTTAGTGGTTCGAATCGGGTTAGCACACTTCAAATTACCCGCCTCAAGAAGCGGACCGACTCACGTCACTGTTGCCGAGCACAACGTTGCCCGGCTTAACAGCGCTAGTAGCAGCAGCCCGAAAATAGCGGGAGTCACAGCAGCAACAACCATTGATCAATTTACCGCCATTGGCTTCGAGATAGCAGACGTTTGTTTGTTCGAACTATGACCTCTACATGGCACCACCTGTCTCGTTTAACCACGCGAAAATTGAATTTTCGAACCACTCGTGCCATTCCCCATAGTAACGTTTCGTTGTTCTTTTTTCCATGAGTCAAACAAACGAACAAGGAGCATTTTATTGCGTCTCTTGATGTAAGGAAGGTTCTTTATTTAGGGCAGTTAGACTTATTACTAGTGAATAATTGTAGGCGGTCCGTCTGATGTCATCGGGATCACTTTAGAAATGCCCTACTGCGGCACTGGTGTTCTTGTGCATTTACTTTAATTTCTCGGCAAGTAAGGCACTGTTGTTGATAATGTTGTCGTTTTAAATGTTTTCATACATTGACCTTTCACTCTGACGTAAATTGTTATTTGACTTTAGTGTCTTTTCAAGTTGTCTCCTGATATAGATGAACTGCCAGCGGAATTATTGGGCATTGTGTCTGCCACTTCTTTGTCTCCTGATGTGCCCATCAGATTTAGTTATTCAAGAATGGCATCGGGATATAATAGTAATACTCGTAATCGTTATCGTAATGTATACAAGCTCATGATCGACTGCACAACCCATCGCTGTCAAAATACCACTGTGCCGTCGTTCTTCGGGTTACTTTCATTACACTTCCTGGCGCAGCCACTACAGTGCATGCAATAGAAGTGCAGGCACCTACGTGAAGTACTCCTCGGCCGGAGTGGTGTAGTTGGCCCTGAGGTCGACGGCGACTGCCCTGTCCGTGTCGTTGGTGGCGTTGGCGTCACGGCCGTCGACGCCCTCGTCCAAAGGCGTCGAGCTCTCGTTGGCCGGAAGCCTGAGAAGGCGCTGGCCGTAAGCCAGCTCGAGGCAGTGGTCCGTGTTCCACGAGTTGTTGCAGTTGGTCCACGGCAGCTCGGTATTGAAAGAGGCCACCAGGTAGTAGAGCGCCCAGGCGATGATCACGTTGTAGTAGAAGTCCACGTAGAAGGCAATCATCACCACCGTGTAACCCACGCCTGCACTCCGCCATCATGCGTCGGTGACGAAAGAAAAATAGGTGCGATAAAGAGACGCGCGTTCACTGCGCAATACGGCGAAAAAGAAAGAAATAGTAGACCCTAACTTTGTCCGGACATGCGCAGGCATGCAGCACTACCCGTTGACCCGGTACACGTGGGCGTTTACGCGAGAAATGGTCAGTCAGGCATTTCTTCTTAGCGCAAGTTCATCGACGGCTGGCTCAGGCACACGCTACTGCTAATATCAATGTGCCTCTACCATCAGACGCGTGCCTTCAAACTTATGTCTGTACAACAACACGCATGCATCAAAATTTGGTATGCGTCTACACCATCGGCAACGTAAAGATAGCTTGCATGAGCCTCCAGTTAGCCACCTCGTACGGTCCATTGACCGTCGATTAATACATATATGCCCTTTGGATAATAAATAAAATTTGGGGTTTTAGGTCCCAAGAATTCGATATGATTATGAAGGACGCCGCAATGAAGAGATACGGAAATTTCGATTACTTAGCGTTATTTAACGTACACCTGACATTGCACAGTACCAGGAACATTTCGCCTCCATGGAAATGCGACAGCCGCGGCTGGGATCGAACCCGCTACCTTCGTGTCAGCAGTCGAGCACCATAAGAACTGCCCCGCCGCTGCGCACCAGCAGCCCGCTTGGCCTGTATACGTAGAAGCGGCTGCAGCTAAAGGCGCTGTATAACCTACACCCATAAGGCACATCAACAAATTTCGTGTGCTTTACGAAACATATGCCAGATTGCCTTTGTTTGCCTAAAACGTGGCAATTCCTTCGCTACAGGGCTGCGAATATCTTACTTAGTGGATGCAAGGAATACGAACAGACAAGCTTGTTTTGATGCCTTCTAGTGCCAAATGTCACTCTAACCTTAGGATCGACTCCTATGCTCTGACGCTTTAGTCGCGTACGACTACGGAAGTCACGTCCATATAGCGCTTCACTCTTCTTTTCTTTTTTCCAAGCAGTTTCAAGCACTGGCGACCAGCTTGCCACGAACAAGGCCTACATTCGATTCTCCTTCGGAATTGAGTCTTTTTATTGTTTATTAGTTTGCATCCATCTCGTATTTTCGCTCGCAGACAACGCTGATCTTTAGCTTGGCTTACAGCCAACGATGCCGACACCTACCCTAAATGTGCCTTAATGTGTCCAAACTATGACGAACAATATACTCAAAAAAGAAAACTTACCCTTTAGGTACAGACCATGAAACCATAAAGTGCACCACTTATACCGCGTGGTATAGCCAGTTGCCACTCCACCCCCCCCCCTCCCCCGTAAAGACGCAGGAAGCCAGTTCAAATCATGTAAGGTTAACGCAGAAAACAAAATTAAGTGTGCAAAAACTTTCAAGCTGGCAACAGTGAGAGGTTACGTAAGAGCACTTCTCGAGAAGCCCGTCCTAAGGATTACGCCCCCATTGTGAGGCCGAGTTATCGACGAAAAAGTGGACTCAGCCAAGAAGAGACGGAGAAGCGAAAATAATGACGCAGGCCACTCTCGCTATTGTCCGCTCGATCGCCGAGAAGAGAGAAGGCGAGCATCTTAAAGGGGGGCATACCCCGAGAAATCGGAAAGTTCTTTATGGTAGGGCAAAATAATTATAAACTTGAGTGGCAACAAGGAGGTTCTGCTCAAAGGTGCGGCCGCCTCTAAGGGCGATGATCTTCGGACCTAACGTCAGCCGACGGATTATAAGGGGGTCGCCGGAAATTCATTTTCTGCGCCACCCCGAAGCCCGCATTAGTGACGCGCCGACGACTCCTGTGTTTCCTCCTCGCGGGGCGCTGCCGTCGCGGGTGGTGCCAGTAGCCCTGTGGAGCGCCCCCCAGTGTGCGGGGTCCACAGGTTCCTTTGAATTGGCAGTTCATAAATATATGTAGGACCGCAGTGGTGGACAAGCAAGCACCCGCTCCTCGTGATCACGAGAAGACTGGCTTCGTACCTGCAGGCAGCGAGAAGCCGATGTCCGAGCATGATCGAAGGATAAAGCTGATTTGGACAATATGCACGCAAAGTACAATGGCCAAATATGTTGGCCAAATATGTTGACCAAAAAGTGTGCGAGTGCCTGACAAGGTGCTGAAGCCCCAGTGTGCATAAAAAAGTGACAAGCCCCGGTAAAAAAACGCTGACGCCACGCTCGGACAAGAATGTAAAAGAAAGAAAGAAAGAAAGAAAGAAAGAAAGAAAGAAAGAAAAAAAGAAAGAAAAAAAGAAAGAAAGAAAGAAAGAAAGAAAGTATGAAGCATTTGTTCAGGGAACAAATTTAGTGGTACAAGACGAACTGGTGGCAAGAGCGTGGAAAATTACATCCTGGAACGAATATTCTGGTACGTCGTAAAAAAAAAAAACCTCTAGTTTTTGCTATCAGTCAAAATTACTGCACCTATAGAAATCACGATGGGCATTTTTGTTCTTTCGTTCTTTTATTTTGAATGAGTGCACTTTATTCATACATAAAAAACATTTTTCTTAAAGCAATATCTAGTTATTAAATTTTATTGTTTGTGTGTTTATCTTGTACATTATTGTCATGATGTTGGGATAGCCGGCTCTAGCGTAGCCTACAACTTCCCATATTCTGTCAAATATAAATAAAAAAGTTACAGCTTTCTTCAATGAACTATTTCACAAATACTATTCAAAAAAAAGTTAGAAGCACTTGGCAGCGCTAAATCATAATCCTCAATATCAAGATAACAGTGAAAGATTACTTCACTGGCAGCTATATACCAAAACCCTGTGTCAACAGAGATAGTATTATTACCATTCTGTTGTTAATGTAAGCACATTAACTTGAATATTAGGACACAACAGCCCAAAATGCGAGACAGAGCACATACAGAGCCCAACGCTGATTATTATTATTATATTATTATTATTATTATTATTATTATTATTATTATTATTATTATTATTATTATTATTATTATTATTATTATTATTATTATTATTATTATTATTATTATTATTATTATTATTGAAAAGGTAGAACGCATATAGACAGGCAAATAATGAAAAAAAAAGGTACAAATGATGTCGGGTTACTCGGCCAGCCGGCATGACTAAAGGTTTAAACCCAGAAAAAAACAGTTAACGTAATGCCAAGACAATCATATTTCATAAAACGGAACTCAAAGGCGAAAAAAACTGCCAATATATATGCTCCGATGTTTAAATAAGAGATTGGAGCAACCGCGAACTAAGAATGAGGAAACCGCGGAGATTCTGTTTCTCACTCCTTGATGCACAAGAATGTGCTGATATGACTATACTGTTATTTTCAGCAGCTTGTTATAGCTTCTCGTGACAGTCTACCTGGCCTGCGTCACCCGTGACCACACGTATACGCGTTGCAGCACGTCAGCACGTGGCGTGTAGACTCGGCGCCATCGCCCTCTGCGAGCGGCTACGCAAAGCTGCGCGCCCTCTCACATAGGGACAGGGTGTAACGCCGAGTTGAATAATTCTTAAAGGGGCCCTTCAACACTTTTTGAGCATGGTCAGAAAACGCTGCCGATCGGTATATAGTAGAGGCTCCCGAAAACATGCAAGTTAAATAGTATAGCGCAGCACTCGGCCTGGAATTAATAAAGATCATTTAGGTCAGCTAAAAATTGGTTTCTCATCTCTCGAGAAATCACGGAAGGCGCTCAAAAATCACCCGTGAAAAGCCCATCTATCAGCCCTTCGCTGATTTAAACATGGCGCGCTCAGTCGTTAGAAAGATCGCCGCGGGAGGCCGGGACTTGTCCACGCGTGCGCGCGCGAACCCACTGAAAAAAACTGCACATTCGAAGAAAGAAAAGAAAAAGTGCTCAAGGTCACGAGGCGCGCGTGACGTTTTTCTTTACCCCTGCCATCCCTCCCTGCTTAGCTTCCAGCGCTTTCGTCGGGACGAGAGAAGAGAATGCAATTGCAGCATGCGACAAATCTTTGTACCTCCACTCCAGCTGGACCAATTCTTTAAATTTTTGTGGCTTTGAATTCGCGAGGCAATAAGCTCCTTCCAATGAATTCATTCCGTGGTTACTAGAAAAAATCTTTCAAGGCCTCTTTACAATCTTTCACACGCTCAGGTGTCTGTTAGCAGCAAATAAAATACAGTCTTAGCTCTTTGGTGTCGCCACACGTTGCAGTTGTAGATTTCGGAGGACTAAGAAATTCATTGTTCTAGATTTTACGAACTGCCTGATTTAACAAAAGAATTCGTGTGTCCCTATCACTTCGTTAAATTGAGTTTGAACTGCACATGGCAATGGTATATTCAAGTCTCACGTCGTCCTTAACCTCATCTTCGCCCTCACATCATCCCCCTCCCATTCCCTTCCCCCTTTCAAGGCTCGTTATACTATATTATGGAATGTTATGTTACGTTTTACCTTTTACCCTCCTCCTTTCCTTCCTGCAGATGCTATTGGAGCACCGTCTTTGTCTTTGGTCGGCTCACAGGGAAATCAAAGCTTTTTTTGTGCTTCTTGAGGACTACGGGCCTATGTGAACGCCTTTGTCTTTTGTATAGTGCACCGCCACACACGTGTCGGCACATCAACTCACCATTTTCCCTTCCCCTTCCTTTATCACTCTCTCAATTATTACACCCTTTTCCCATTGCCCCAGGGTAGGGTAGCCATCCGGGCATGTGCCTGACTAACCTACCTGCCTTCCCTCTCGTTGTTCTTCCTTCCTTCTCGCATTACTCATCAGTCTAGATCAATTCCATTTTCCACCCCTTGGTGTACCATATTATACATGGGTATGCTATGCTTTATACACTCTACTCTCCTTCTTTCCTCCTCCTCACTCCCACCAATTTTGAGGAACGCTATGGCTTTGTTTTAGGCCTGTTATGCAATGGGATTTTGAACGCAATCATGTAACAGACCGCGTAAAAGACTTAGGCAACCCGACAAGAAACTCCCCTTTTGAAAAGCCAGCCGACATACAGCTAGTGCTGTATTCTTCACTGTTCCGTGTTTCATGATGTTCTGATATCTAATCTTCACGAAGCAAATACCACACCTACATAGCCCTTGGTCGTTTGATGAGATGAACGAGAAGCATGTATACCTTTGAAGAGGGGCACCAGCCTTCCCCAGCAGGTGATGGCGCCCTTGCGGTGGTACTGGCCAAGGGCAAGCTCCATGAAGAAGAGCGGAATGCCACCCACCGCCAGCATGATCAGGTACGGCACCAAAAACGCGCCTGCGAAGAACAGCAGTCAGTCTACTGCCTGCTTGATTCAAATTACGAAAGCCATCGAACAACTCCGGTTGTGTCCGTACGTATTTACTCCTAATTTTCAATGGGCCAAGATAATCATTCGCTGGCATAGCTCGCTTGACGCCATCAGCGCAATGATTATCACACATGGCGATTCAAAGCAATCGAACTAAGAAAAAGATATTGTTGCTGCGCCTCCGAACTAGTGATTGCAGCACATTCTTCAGCGTATTCGCGCACAGTTATGTCTCTGTTTATTCTTCAGCGTGAGCGTCTTCGCGTAGGACACAGAAGTAATTGATGATTTATACGTTGGGCTTAACGTCCAAAACCACCATATGATTATGAGAGACGCCGCATAGTGGAGGACTCCGGAAATTTCGACCACCTGGGGATCTTTAACGTGCACCCAAATCTGAACACATGGGCCTACAACATTTCCGCCTCCATCGGAGGTGCAGCCGCTGTCACACCGGTCCCGTTTATTAGGGAGGCGATCGCCGGGCTAATTCCAAGAGCCGAAGTATCGGCCCCCCGAACCGCACCACGAAAGCGTGGACAATTTAGAAGTGGTCCTTTTTGGTGCGCCAGCGGACGCCGGCTGTGGCCCAAAGAACAAGTCAGAGCCGAGAGTTGATAAACAAACAAATTATATTCTCAATAATGGCAGATCGAAAACAATACACCAATATGTTCACTCCTCAATAGTTACATACAAAACGTCACCAATCAAACAACGTACTACACACTACAATCAACCACACTTGAAACAACGGACACAGACAACAATACGCACTACAATGCAGTCGCATGCATTGAACAACCAAGACACTTGAAGACTAGAGAGGTAGAAAACCTATTCAGCCCAAAGTTCTTGGAACCAAAGTCTAGATGATACTCTTCCGAGAATCACTCACTCAAAGTCCAGTGTTGTTGTCGTTCCGCAGCCCTCGAAGTTTCTCTTCCAGGAAACCTCGCCGGAGTTTCTCTTCCAGGAAAACTCCCGTCTTCAATAGGCCACTCTCCAAGCTTCAAAATTCTTCGCCGGAACACGTCGGCTTCACACTCGCAGCTGTTGCCACGGGTCTTCGCTCGATAGCGGTAAACACACGCTCTTGCCTGTAGCCCGAGCCTTCACCCCTCAGGTGGAAATCCTCTTCATCTCCGGCTTCGTCCCTACGGACCAAAACCTTCGCCGACTACCCGGCTGAATCCCTACGCGCTCTGGCGCTCACTTCCGTCTCCTCCTGTTCTGTCACTACGGGCAGAACCTTCGCCGACTACACGGCGGAATTCCTACGCGCTCCGGCGCTAACTTTCCGTCTTCTCCTGCTTTCTCGTCTCGGCTGCTCGATTAAATACGTTCCGTGCCACCTTCCAGAACGTTCTCCTCATTTCGCCGGCGCGACGCGCAGCGAAGGCTGGGGAGAGGCACGAGACGGTTCGACTGCCCTCCCCGGAGGATGATTCACTCGGTCTGACCACGCCTCCTTCGTTCTAGAAAAATCGCGGCCTTGCTGGGCCGCCGATGTGGGGTGAGGAGGTTCGTCTGCGAAGCCATGCTTCTGCGGGGAGAGCGCGCGCCCGGGAGCCTTGGAGATTTGCTTTCTTTTTTTTTCTTTTTACCTCGCGGCGTTTCTGCCGCCCGTTGTCGCAAGGATTTGGCGGCGCGCTCTTTTTTAGCGCTCGTTCTGTGACACTGCCCCCCACTTTAAGAATATTATCTCATAATATTCAAACCACACAAACGAGCGCGAACAGTCACCACACACTCTCACAGACTGTAACACCATCAGTCGCTCATGACACTTCACACCCACAATAGATCACTAAATACAATTGTACATTGTAATTCAATTAAACAACACGTGAAAACACCACCACAAGCACATGAGTACAACACTGCACCACACATTCCCAATAATACAATTGTACGAAGTTCTCTCATTACAACAATGGTCCAATACTATTCATCACATCACAACACAACACTTCGACACTTGTGACACAGGATAACACAATATTAACACAACATATGGCACTCAGCACTGCCCAACCACATTCTGCTTTGACCTCAGCACTTATCCTGCGTACTTCGAGCAGCGCTTGCGCCCCTTTTTGCGGTGCTCGCACGATCTCTTCTTGTGTTTCCACGTTCCTTTTCGGCGAGCCCTTTCCAACGACGATATCTGAGGCGTCGTCTCAGCCATCGTTGTCTCTTCCGACACCGTTAACGCGTCATTACATTCGACGGGTCCTGTCTGTTTATTTACCCGCTTGATCATGCCTCTACATTTTTCCCGGCTGGCCAACTCCGTCTCCTTTACACTGTCGGTCGGTTGAAGTCGTGCCGACGTAAGTCCGGTTGCTCGGCCCGTGAACTTATTCGACACGATCGTCTTCTCCTTCGCTGTCTTTTGCGCCGCGGCTTCGCCTTGGGCTCTAGTGAGATCCGTCACGGGCTGCTCCTCCACTGTATCTCGCGGCCGCTGTGTTGGCGAGGGCTCTATCTTCGGGTCTTCTCCCAAACGTTCTGGATCCCTTGGAAATCGCGCCCCGTCGATGTTTCCGATGACAAGGTCATACAGGGGGGTCGTCATGCATAAAGCAGTAACCTTCCCGCTGAAGTACGGGGTTTCAACCTCGATTTCTGCTTCGGCAAGGATCCGAACTGTACGGTCAATTAGGCAAACCGGTTTCGTTCTGCCTGTCAACTCACTTTCCCGTACCAAATTTCTCCGCACGATAACAGTGGAACTGCCGGTATCTCTTAACACCGTAATCTTTTTGCCCGCAACTTTTCCAGGCAGCGTTGGCATTCCTTTCGTAACACCGGTTGGCTGCTTTGACATTACAGCACCCACAATAGGAATTTTCTCCCCATTCTTCAACTCTACGAATCCATCGGTGACGGTATTATTATCAGATTTCGGTGCCGCTTGCACACAGGATACCTGGTGAGTTTGACTCACTCCGTTTCGACATGCGTCTGCTTTGTGCCCAGTATGACCACACTTGAAACATTTTACTGCCGTAGGGCTCGTAAAGATCGTTCGACAGTTTTTCGCGCGATGACCCACTCGGTTGCACAGAAAACATCGCGGAATGCTCTCTGGTGCACGCTTCTTTTCTTCTGGAGCCAATTTCTTCGAATCATCGGGACAATAATTCTTGACCTTGGCCAAATTAGTTCCACCTTGCGCTTCCAAGAATTGATCAGCTAATTCAAGCATGTCCTCAAGTGAGTCAGCCTTCCTCTCTTTCAAGTACAGCGACAGGCTTGGGTGGCAACTAGTAAGAAATTGTTCTCTAATTAGGAGCTCTCTAAGCTCATCGTACTCCTGCGCTGTCCCTGAAAGTTCAATCCATCTGTCGAAATAATGGCAAAGTCGGGCGGCATACTGCGTAGCCGTCTCACCATCAGCTGGCTTTCCTGTCCTAAATCTGTCCCGGAATCCTTCCACGGTAAATCTAAATCGCTTCAGCAAAGCAGCTTTCACTTTAGCATAGTTGGCTGCATCGGTCGGCGTCAGCCTACCGTACACACTGAGCGCTTCACCACTCAAGCAAGTACTCAAAGCAGTTGCCCATTGATGTTCCGGCCAATTCTGGCTCTTCGCAATCGTCTCAAATCTGTGGAGGTACGCGTCTAGGTCGTCCTTCCTTTCATCAAACGCTACGAGCAGCTTGCTTGGGTTCAAGCGGAAGCCGTGATCTTCACGTTCGCTGCTTTCAACTCTAGCTTGGACGGGAGTTTCACTTCGCTGTTGCAAACGGAGCCGCTCGAGTTCCATCTCGTGCTGCCGCTGCCGCTCCCTTTCAGCCGTCTGCGCTTCTCTTTCTTCTCTCGCCCTCTCAGCGGCCAGCTTTTCTCTTTCCAGCTCCAACTTCAACTGCTGCTCTCTTTCTTCCTTCAGCTGTCGCTCCTTTGCCTCTCTTTCTTCTTTCGCCCTTTCAGCTGCCAACCTCTCTCGCTCCAACTCAGCTGCTTTTTCTTCCTTGGCCCTCTCTGCTGCCAACCTCTCTCTCTCCACCGCCTCTTTCTCCTTCTGGCTTACCCACTTCCGTAGTTCGGCGCCAGAAAGACCCACCTTCTCACCAAGAGCAACTAACTTTTCGAGATCCATTGTGTCTCGTAACTCGCAAATAAAACCTTGCCGCGTGCAAAAAGTATCTGCCTAAATCAGTCTATCGGAACACTCCCCTGCACTCGTTAACGAGAACACTGAACAACACACAAAATCGTTCCGATAGCACTATCAACAACTCGAGGCTCTTTCCTACTACTTTGGACACACTGTGCACCAAAAGGTCCTGTTTCGCGGACGCCAGATTAATTGTCACACCGGTCCCGTTTATTAGGGAGGCGATCGCCGGGCTAATTCCAAGAGCCGAAGTATCGGCCCCCCGAACCGCACCACGAAAGCGTGGACAATTTAGAAGTGGTCCTTTTTGGTGCGCCAGCGGACGCCGGCTGTGGCCCAAAGAACAAGTCAGAGCCGAGAGTTGATAAACAAACAAATTATATTCTCAATAATGGCAGATCGAAAACAATACACCAATATGTTCACTCCTCAATAGTTACATACAAAACGTCACCAATCAAACAACGTACTACACACTACAATCAACCACACTTGAAACAACGGACACAGACAACAATACGCACTACAATGCAGTCGCATGCATTGAACAACCAAGACACTTGAAGACTAGAGAGGTAGAAAACCTATTCAGCCCAAAGTTCTTGGAACCAAAGTCTAGATGATACTCTTCCGAGAATCACTCACTCAAAGTCCAGTGTTGTTGTCGTTCCGCAGCCCTCGAAGTTTCTCTTCCAGGAAACCTCGCCGGAGTTTCTCTTCCAGGAAAACTCCCGTCTTCAATAGGCCACTCTCCAAGCTTCAAAATTCTTCGCCGGAACACGTCGGCTTCACACTCGCAGCTGTTGCCACGGGTCTTCGCTCGATAGCGGTAAACAC